AAAACATTTCACTTCAAATCAGTCATGCTCGTGTAAAACGGGTTTAGTCCCGCCACCACTTCAAAAACAAATCAAAACATGCTTTTAAAACAGTACGGGCATTACCATAAATTTACTTACCTCACTCGCATAAAACCAAGCACTCAATTCACGCACTAACTGACAGAACGATCGGGAACCTAATCAAAACATCTCAGAATTAATACTGGACTATCACAAATTCAAACTGAAGTCATCAAGATCACTCTTAATCACAATGCTATTTCTATCACTTTCCACATGATCGGACATCTCCAAATTCGTTCTCATATCACAAACTAATCATTTAAATTCCCGTTAATTGTAAGCCCTCAGGGTGTGAACAGTACCCGTGAACAGTACCCACGACGTGAACAGTAACTGCACTTCCAAAAATTGGCCAAAACACTAGCTAATTCACGGGATTTTCTCTCCAAAAATCACAACATGCAATTAACACTCAATCACATAATTCTCACTTGAATTAAGCTAAATCATGGTCCTAAAGCTATCAAATTCATCCCCATTTTCTAGCCAAATTCAGACATCACAAAGCAGCCACTAATCAACCAATTTTCGAGAATTAGAGAAGTCAACCTACCATAAATTTTCCAGTTGCAGAACCGGACTTGGCAGGGGGAGAAGCCGGCGGCAAGTGCAGGGGAAGCTCACGGGAACTACCCAAAATTGAAGGAAATAAGAGTAATCAAAGTTAACCCAAGCCAATTCAAGCAAGAACAAAGGGATTAGGGGCTATTCTTACCGAAAAAAATGCCCAGAAATCACCCACAATGAAGAGCAGCCGGCGGAAGGACAAAGCAGAGCAAGGCAGATCCGACTTTTCCAGCAGGGGGGAAGATTTATGGGTTCTAAATCAGGTTCTTGGACAAGAAAAGAAGGGAAAAATCAAGCTTTCTCACCGGTTTCTCAAGGCTGGTGGGGTTCCCTTTCTTTTTTTTCCTCTCGGGTTACAACGGGAAGACAAGAGCAGAAACGGGCTGGAGAAGAAAAGAGGAAAAGGGAGAAAAGAAATAAGCCATCCTTATCCAAATTCTACTCTTTTAAGCCCCTCAGCTTTCAGAATATTCACATTAGGCCCCAAAACAATCTTTTCTCACAATCAAGTCCTTAACTTACACTTAAATATTCCCAAAAATTTGGGATATTACAC